GCAGGGCAGGGCCTGGGCTACGGGGGCTATGGGGACTTTGCCTAGGTCTCCCATGTGGCTGCAAGCTCCCAAGCCCTTGGGCCATCTTCTGCTTTCCCAACCACAGTTCTCTGTTCTGATGTCACTTTCATGGCAGTCTTCCCTGACCACCCTGTGTAAATTATCATTTATGATAATAATGATGATAGATACACAGATAGCAAATCCCCCACTCCAGAAGTTGCCGTGTCTTGTGCCTGCTCTGTGCCGGTGCGAGCACTTGACCAGCCTCTGACTCCATCCCGGTCCATTTTCTGTAGCTGAGACTGGGTCAGAATGTCGGTTGGTTCACGATTCCAGAGCCAGGAAAGTTCAAGGGCCCAGCAGGGACATCTGATGAGGGTGTCACAGCACAGCAGCAGGTACAAGGACGAGTGAGCTCACGAGACGCCACTGGCTCCTTCACAGCTGGCCCCAGAAGCAGCAGGCCCAAGATTGAGCACCACTCTGCTGGTCCCACTTCACTGGCTGATCACCTCTGACCTACCACCTACGCTGGACCACAGTGGCAGTCCGGTCTTAGCACAGCCAGCCATCATGGTGTCTGTTGGCTGTTGGAGGTACCCCCTGGCCAGAGTCGGGACTCCACCTCAATTCCTTTCTTTCTTTTCCTTTCTTTTCTTTTCCTTTCTTTTCTTTCCTTTCCTTTTCTTTTCTCTTCTTTCTTTCTTTCTTTCTTTCTTTCTTTCTTTCTTTCTTTCTTTCTTTCTTTCTTTCTTTCTCTCTTTCTCTCTTTCTTTCTTTTAAATATTTATTTATTTTATTGGAAAAGTATATCTACAGAAAGAAGGAAAGACAGAATACTCTTCCATTCTCTGATTCCCCAGTGGCTACAGCTGAGCCAATCTGAAGCTAGGAGCCTCTTCTAGGTTTTCCATGCAGGTGCAAGGGTCCCATGGTCCTGGATCATCCTCTACTGCTTTCCCAGGCCACAAGCTGGGAGCTGGATGGGAAGTGGAACAGCCAAGGCATGAACTGGCATCCATATGGGATCCTGGCATATACAAGGGGAGTACTTAACCAACTGAGCCATCATACCAGGCCCTCCACTTTTTTCTTTTTCAACTCACGTTTGTGTGTGCAGCACATGAAGGTGCATCAGACACACACGTGACTGCATACACACAAAAACTGCATGCATAGAGGAGGCCCCACGATGAGGGGCAGGCACATGGCTGATGGGAAGCAGGACTAAGGAGTGGACAGGAGAGGCCAGCGTGAGCCACAGCAGGCCAGGGCTCAGTTCTTAATCTCCATTAGGATTAAACAGCTCTATGTACTGGGCTGAGACCTGCAGCCTGCAGAAGACAGCCTCCACGCCCTGGGTCTCACAGGAAACCCCCTTTCTACCCAGGAGGGTAGGTGTACCTGTTGCCTGTTGAGCTGGGGAGCCCCAAGGTTGACACCTACCAGGAAAGGTGCTGGAACGGGAGGAAATGAAAGTGAAGGCATGAGGAGGCCCCGTGCCTGCAGCAGCCCTGGCAGGGCTGTGCTAAGGCTGTGCAGACTTGGCTGGGGTCCAGGGCAGTTAGCCAGCACGCGAGGGAGGAGCTGGTGGCTGGGGCCTGAAGGCTCAGGTGCAGGCGGGAGGGCTGGGGAGCAGCCCCACAGTCACAGCACAGGATATGCCCGGACCTGGGCTGGGTCCAGAGAGCGCTATCCCACTTGGAGCATCCCATACTCTAAAGCCTTTGGTCCGGGCTGTCCTTTGCCCCTCACCACCCCCAAAGTCCACACCTCTGGATCCTTCCTGTGCTTTGGCATCCAATGTCTCACAGCCCCACCTCTCATCCATCCAGACTCAGCCAAATGCCGCCCCCTCTGAGAGGCCCTCCCTGATGTCCTGTTCTTCATTCCCTGCTTTATGTTTCTGCACACCCTCCACCTCTTGGCATGCCACTGTGGCTTCTTCCCCTTATCCTCTGCCCTCTTCACCAGGAGGTGGGATCCACGAGGACCAGGTTTTTACTTTGCTGATTGCTGTGTGCACAATGCCCAGCACAGGGCTGGGCACGGAGTGGCGCTGGGAACTAATGTGGAAAAGTAAATGGAGAATCAGAGAAAGATGCGTCTCTCACCTGGTGCGTGGCTGAATAAATGATGGCATTTTGCAGGCTTAGAGTGTGTTGAAGGAATGAATGAAATGCCATGCTCCCTCCCCACTCCTTCCCCACTTGTAGTAGGCACGAGTGCTTGATGAATGAATGAATTTCAGGTTGCCCCTCTCTTGCCTTCTCTCTAAGAAGGTTTTATCAACCAGGAAACCCAGACAAGGCAGGAGTGAGGAGAGTAGTCGGCAGAGCAACAGCAGCTGTTGCGGCCACTGGGGGCTCTCCCCGCACCCCATCCGCAGAGCCCAAGCCTGCTCTGAACGTTCCCTCCCCCGGCCTCTCTGCAGGGCTGCGAGGTGGCCTGGCACTGCCTGGGGGAGCCGTTCCCGCCACCGTGTTCACAGGGAAGTCATAAGCTCCAGGAAATGAAGGCTGCAGAGCGGCGCCTCCCCCTCACCCATAACTCCAGCCTCATTACGACCAGCCAGGCCGTAATGCGAGTCATCAAAGCCGGGTCCCCAGGGGCGAAGCACAGCTTGCAGGGAGTGGAGCAAGGCCAGCAGGGCGGGGCCCATCTCTGCGTCCAGTCCTGGGGTAAGGGGTCAGGAGGGACCTCTGGGGGCTCGAGGCAGGCTCACCCAGCTTCACTTCCCTTCCATTCTTCCCTCCAGACTGCTAACATCTTCCTGTTCTCACGCCCCAGAAACGCAACTTCACACCCCACCCCCCCAGCACTCCACTTTATCCCGCAACCCCCCTCCATAAAGCGTTTCCAGGACAGGCACCGGTCTTGGCTTTGGTGTCTCGTCGGAATGCATGCTTTTCACAAATATCTTGGGTTCTAGTTCTGACTCACTTCCACCCTGGGAGGCAGCAGGTGATGGCTCAAGGTCCCTGCCACCCACATGGGAGACCTGGAGGGAGCTCCCGGCTCCTGGCTGCAGCCACGTCCAGCTCTAGCCAGGTTTAGGAATTGAAGCAGCAGGTTGATGCTCGCTCTGTTTCTCTGCCTTTCAAATGAAATGAAGATAAACACAATTTAAAATAAAACACTTTTTAAAAAATTCTGGAGCCACCACTGAGGAAAAGTCCTGGGAAGCCAGGCATCTGCAGAATGGGTATAAAACACTCACTTTTGGAGCCACCACTCGTGCTCACTGACGGCTCACGGAGACACTGGGCCCAAGGCGTGACCTGATATCCTTCTCCCCTAGAGATTTGGCCCCTTTGTCTCCACCAATTAGTGCCAGGGACGAGTCCATCAGCCGCTGTCCATCACACAACCTCCAGTTTCCACTTAGCTCCCCAAATTGTCAGGACACCCCAGCCTGCAGGTGCCCTCTTTCCTCTGTGCACTCCTTCTAAGAAGCAGTCCTGGGCCCACAGTCCTGGGCCCACAGCAATAGCCTAGTGGCTAAATTCTTACCTTGCATGCACCAGGATCCCATGTCTGGGCTGCTCTATCCAGCTCCCTGCCTGTGGCCTGGGGAAGCAGCAGAGGACAGCCCAAAGCCTTGGGACCCTGCACCCATGTGGGAGACCCAAGAGAGACTCCTGGCTCCTGCCTTCGGATCGGCTTAGCTTCAGCTGTTGCGGCCACTTGGGGAGTGAACCAGCGGATGGAAGATCTTTCTCTCTGTGTTTCTGTCTTTCCGATACAAATAAATAAATCTTTTTTAAAAAGGCAGCCCTGATTGTTTCTCAGCCTTGTCCCCCTTCCAAACATCTGTGCCCACTCACTTTCCTGAGCCCATGGGTCTCCCATTTCCACACACAGAGAACCAACAGGTGTCTAGGCTGTTCCCAGCTGGGTTCTCATCATCTCCCCCAACCACCACTCCTCTCCCTCCCTCTCGACATCCAGACCCCACCTAGAGCAGAGTGGAAGCTGTGGGGGAGGAACGAGACTGCACCCCCTCACCTCCACTCGCTCCTCCTGTGCCCGAAATTCCTCCATTACAGCGGCATGGCTGTCCCCTGTAAACACCCACATTAAGCCATTAGTCATCATCACGGCTTGAGTAGGCATTAGTCCCTCCGATCCTTTCTTGCTGAAAGCAGGGCCTGATGGAGGGAGGGAAAGCGATGGATGGACCCTGGGGCAATGTGGGGCTGCTGGTTCTGCTGGCTCAGAGAGGCTGTGCCCCTGCCCAGAGCCACACAGTGTGCCTCCAAGCCAGGTCCTGGGCACTCAGGGGCTCCCTGGGCTGCTAGGAGAGGCAGGAGCTGCCATGGCAGCTGGGAGCTGGACTCCAGGCACTTGGAAGGTGGGCGTGGCTGTGGAAGGGGTGCTCTGGAAATCTCGGTGTGGGAGCATTCAAAATGGAAGATTTCGGCGAGGCTGGGCCAGTGAGGCTGCCAGCCAGAGGGACAATGAGAGAACCGGCCAGGCCCCTGTCCCTGTATGCATAGGTTTTGAGACTGGACCACTGAGAGGGAACTGGGGTGGTGAAGTGGAGGAGGTGGGGAGCCACTGGGGTGGGGGGCCACCTGCAAGATCAGGGCCCATGGTGGTCACCCTTGTATCTACCCAGCCTGGTCCAGTGCCAGGCATGACCACTGGAGTAGGCATCCCAGAGCACCTGCAGGGCTGGGCGCAGCACTGGCTCCCTGCACCTGAGCACCCCTCTGATGCTTTCTCTCTTTTTTTGCAGGCCCCACATGGATCAGAACAGCCTCTAGTCCCGGACCGGCGGGCCCCCACCCACAGCCGCTCTGTGCAGGGACTATGGCACACCGAGGCCTCCAGAACCGCCAAAGGGCTACCTGGTAACCTGGTTCGCGGTGCGGCAAGGGGGTCGTGGGCAGGGAACCCCTGGCGTTGTCCATGCCTGGGGTGTGGCCGCGCCCCCGCCGCCTCCAGCCGGGCGCCCCCGCCGCGGGACGATGCGCAGGGCTGCGGACTTGTCCACCATGTGACACGGCACCACTTCGCCGTGCGACCCAGCGGCGGCGCCCGGGTACCTCCCGTCCATGCTCCTGGGCCCGGGCCCGCGCAGCCCAAGCATGAGGCCCGACGGCAGGGGACGCTGGGCCGGAGCCACGTTGTCGCCTGCGCTGCTGCTGCTGCTGCTGCTACTGCTGCTGCTGCCGCCGCCGCCGCCGCCACTACTGGGGCGCCTGTGGGCGGCGGGTACCCCCGCGCCTTCGTCGTCTGGGGTGAAGCAGGATGGTGCACTGGGCGCGGGCCGCGTCAAGCGCGGCTGGGTGTGGAACCAGTTCTTCGTGGTGGAAGAGTACACGGGCACGGAGCCCCTGTACGTGGGCAAGGTAAGAGGGACACGCACTGCCCGATTGAGAGAGCCCAGTCCCGTGGCGTTTAAATACCAGCCCTGGCACCTCTTGCCTGCTGCTCTCTGGACAGGGACATCCGAGTGGTCAGGAAACCATCCCCCACGGTGGCCCTCGGCTCCTTCTCATTTTAGAGAACTGCAGGTGAGCAGCGCCGCGTGTGGTGGAGTGAGATGCATTTGCGGATAGAAACACTGTGACAGATCCCGGCGTGTCTACACACGAATCCTGGTCACTCTGCTCCAAACGGGCTTCGTCGCCTTCCCTCCTCCCTGGGCTCAGGTCCAAATTCCATCCTGTTTCCTGCAGAGACTGGGCTCCTCTTCCAACCTCATCTCCAACCTCTGCCCCCCCCAACTCCTGCAGCCCCACCTCCTCAGAGGAGAGGGATGTTGAGCCTTACTGTCCCTCTGATGTCCCACAAAGTCCTGCTGCAATCTTTTCAATGCCCCATACACTCTCTCACCACTGTTCCCATGCCTCCGTTCAAATGCCTCCTCCTCAGAGAAGCCCTCCTTGACCACCAGGCCAGACAGGTGCCCTTGCTGGGTGCCTGGGGGAGTCTCCCTCGTAGCACTTCCATTGTGCATGTGTTTGCTTGATTGTGCAATTGATGTGCATCTTTGCTATCAGATCGGGCTTGCTCTGCGCGCCGATTCCCACCCCAGGGCTTAGTGCAGACCTTGCTCACAAATGGCGTTGAATGAACAAGTGAACTCTGAGTGAATGCCTGTTGACCTGGCTGGCAATTGGTGCCTTAGAAGAAGTGTCAGGAGCTGAGAAGGTCTTTCCCACATCCGCTCGATCTCTGAGCCTCTTGGATGATGTTGGGGATGCAGGTGTGGAAGGCCAGGCTTCTGCCATTTAGGGCACGGTCCTCCCTCCTCCCACCCCCCAGTGTGTCCCTTGGCTGGCTTTGCAGAGGAGGGCACGCCTGACCTGAGTTTTGAGGTATGAGTAAGAGTTTGTTTGTTGGGCTGGTAGAGAAGAGAGTATAGCCCATGCGGAGTCTTGGAGACTGAAAGAGGTTGGGCTTTTCCGAGACCAGTAGGCAGCTGTGGTAGAGTAGAGGGTTCTGTAAGGCGTGGCAGTGGGGTGGGTCCCAGGCACAGTTCTGTGACTGCTGTTCAGACATCCGTGTCAGCCACTGGTGGTAGATGGGAGGCCCAACACAGGACTTCCTGTGTGCTCACGGGAACCTGAGAATTGGAGGTCAGGGCAGCCCTGAGGCTTAGGGGTCAGGACCCTCGACCAAGGGCAATGTTCAGATGTCAGCCTGGGTCCACCCACCCTGCAGGAAACCTGGGTTTTCTCTGCTGCAGACCCTGTAAGCTGTGCTCCTGAGCGATGCTCCCTGCCGTGCTGAGCACACCGAGGACTTGACAGTGGAGCTCGCACAGGTCCAGGGCCCTAGTTCAGACCATCCGGCTGCCTGGTGGCAGAACCCAGGTCACTGATGGTGACATTGTCATCTCTGGGGCAGGAGCCCAGTCCCGCCCTCGTCTCCTGGAGCCACAGGCTTCGGGTGATGGGAAGGTCTTGCCACACCCCTTTGCTGTGAAATGAGACTGACATCCAGAGACCAGGAAGATCATGCCATGTAGGACCAACCTGAAAAACTAGGGTTCCTGTCATGGGCTCTGTGCCCACTGCAGGGATCCCAGCATGGTACCAGGTATGTGTGGGGGGCTTTTCCTCCTCCTGACCTTCTCCCAGAGGCCTCGCACAAAGCATCCCTGCAGGGAGGAACAAGCTGGCATCTCTGCCAAGGTTTGGCTGATTCCCACTTTCTTGTAGAACTGGTGTGAGTGGTGCAGGAGCCGCCCAGAACAAGACTGCCTGGGCTTCAGTCCTGCTCTGCTGCTGTGGCCGCCTTCACTGTCTGGCCTTGCTTTTTGTGTGTTGAGAGCCACCTCAAAGGGCCATGCTGAATTCAGCAAGTTGGGGCAGGCTGAGAGCCCAAGGTAGCACCGGGCTCCATAACCGCCAGGCAACAGCTTTTGTGGTTCTAAGTCTGGCCCCATACACCCAGCATCTTGAATGTACCCCTCTCCAGGGGATGGAGAATGTTCTGCTCATAGGCTGAGTGAGAAAACTTCTGCGCTGGCTCTGCCGTGGCCTCTGTAGGCAAGACTCAAAATTCAATAAATCCGTAGTAGGCTAATTTTTAAGTTGATCATCTTGAATGGCCTGTGAATGATGTTATAAACACCCTCCAGTGGCCCTTGGCTTTAAAAAGGTTCCCCATTCACACACTGCTCCCCTTTACCCCCAAAGGCCTTGGCCACCTGCTCTCCTGGTTCCTGACCACCAAGTGAGGGGAGGTGGCCGATGGCCCACTCTGCACCCCAGGAATGGGATTCTAGCTGTCCAAGGGCCACCTGTGTTGTTTTCAGCCGAGCCCCGCGTGTGCACAAGGACTGAACACACACATGTGTGCACACATACACACACGCATTCCTGCCACACTCTCTCACTCTTCAGGGAGAAAGGACTTCTCAGTTAATTCACTGCTTCCTGGTACCCCCCCTCCCCGCCCCCACTCCAGGGAGCCGCACAGAGCATCCGTCCTTGTCGGATTCCAAAGGTAGCTTAGCAACAGCACCAGCACCAGTGAACCCCGGGCGCCCAACGGTAACCTATTTTACAGCCGCCTCTTCCATCACTCACCGCCAGGTTCCTGTCGGCACCCACAGGAACTGCCGAGCCCCCTGTGGTCGTCACTGTCGCCAAAGCCCCCTCCCCCAGCTTCCTCCCCAGCCCTGCCCCTTTGGCATGGCCCGCCCTCGCCCCTTCTTACAACACCCACCCTCAAAGCAACACCCCCACCCCCAGCATTTCCATAAAATCTGGGTCCCTTGACTAATCCCTTTTCCTAACTGTAATTTCCCCCGAGGCTTCTGTCAGTTGAATGTGGATTTTGTAGGATTTTTAAATTTTTTTTTTTAACATAGACTTATGGGGTCAGCACTTAGGACCGGCTCCTGTGGGTGGTGAGATCTATTTTAGATATATGGCAGGATTAAAGCGGGGAGGAAAGCAGATTTAATTAAGTTGCTAATATTTAAAGAAAATTGATGAACTCCTGGTTTACGAGTAGCACAGGCGCAGACAGACCCCGCACATTCTGGGGGAGGCTTTTTATTTGATTTGCTTTCCGTTTAAATCCTGGGCTCGTTTTATTTGCGTAGCCATGCTGTCCGTTTAATTGTCTTTAATAAGGAAAACGTACCTCTGCTCGCATTTGATTTTGATTTAATTAGGAGGAAGTAATTAATGGCCTCGTAAAGCCCGCGTTTCAGCCCCCTGGGATGAGAAGCCATCGCGCACAGGGTTTTCCCCTTTGTTTATGATCGCGGGCTGGGGTGTGGCCAGGGGGCGGGGGACAAGAAGGACCGGCCCCTCCCAGCTCGGCCTCACTTGATGTAATGGAAAGAACCCTGACCATGTTGTCAGGGGTCTGTCTCAGGTTAGCTGTGGATCCTCTCTGGATCTCAGTTTGCTAAACTGTGCAATGGAAGAGAATGACCTTAGATTACAAGGTCTTCATGAGATAATGGTCTCTGTACCTGGAGCGTGGCAGGTGCCCCATGAGCCTGGTTTGAGCAGAGTGACTGAGGCCTCCAGAAAGCCTGGAGCCAGTCGGGGAATTCCAAACACGGTCACATGTCTCATCATGTACACAGGAGGCTTGCTGCTGGGCCCTGTGTGGGTGCAGGGGAAATAGAACATAGGATCTTGCCATTTCACACTGGTGCACACACGCACGTGCACATGTCCAGATCTCCCTACCCGGTGTCTTCCCTGCAGGCCTTGTCAGGACCCCTAGTGTGTGCGGACACAGGGAGTTAGAGATGAAGCAAATTTGGGCCTATTCCCCGTGGACTCAGAGAGGCAACTCTGAGATGTTCCAAGGGAGCATGGGATACAGGGCCAGGTGTAAGGGGCACAGAATGGGGCGAGGCATCCTATAGGGCATTCAAGAGGGCTACCTGGAGGAGGAGACTGACTCTGAGAGACAAGAAGGTGTTGCATAATAGCCCCTGGATTTCCAAGGTGCTAGGATTTTGTTCAAGGTTCTTGCCTCAGGAAATGGGCTGAATGAACTGGCTGACCCCACAGGCTATCCTGGGCCTGGGTCAGGAAAGGGAGAAGCAACCCAGTGGCTCTGAGTACCCGTAATGTGCCAAGAGCTGCCACATGTCCTAAGCCTCCAGCATCCGTGGGCAGCAAAATGAGCCCCGAGCAGAGATGAAAAATAGACAGAAGCAACCTCAACAGCCCCTGGTGACCGAATCTCCTGATTGGCCATTTGAGGCTTTTTTCCCTCAATGATGCAATGGGAATTCTGAGAGGGGAAGCCCGCTGGGTACAAAGATTGGCCACCCCCTTTCCCAAGCCTCTCCTTCCTCCTTGCTCCCTCTTCCACCAGAGTCCCAGTGGCTGCCAAGGTGCCAAGCTGTAGCATTCTTTTCACCTGGAAAATGGGGCTACAGTCCCGTATTTCCCCAAATCAAGCCAGCTCTCAACACTCGGCCTGTGATGCTTATCTCGCATAGCAGGTGTTCACAGAACCAGAGCCCAGAACTCCGGCCCCTGCCCACAGCTGAGAGGTTTGAGAGCCAAGTATACATCTTCCCCGTGCCAGAACCAGGAGTTCAGGCAGGCCCAGTGGGCAGCCTGCATCTGCAGCTGCAAACCCTTTTACTCCTGGCTCCCCAGAGACCAGACGCCTGGAACCTGATGATGTCACTGCCAGGCCCACTCCCCTCTCCCCACCCCTCCCTGATTAGTGAGCCCTGTCCAAATCTGACTTAAAATGTCAGGGGCTGCACGGATATATGCAAACCCAAGGCACTGAAGAGGAAAGGAAAGAGCTGCTAACACCCTGTGGCGTCATGGCAAAGCTGCTCTCAGTAGTCACCTCACACCTGTCGCTGGGCGAACTTGCACTGGTGTCTCAGGTCAGCAGCCTGCCTGAGGTCCCAGCATCAGCGAGCAGCAGAGTCCGGAGCTTGGCTGCATGGCAGAGCTGATGCCCTCATCCCTCTGGGTCTCAGCTCTCACATCTGAGAAATGGGAATGCTAATGTCCCCCAGGGCGATGGCAAAGGCTGACATAATGATAACTCTTGAAGCACATGCCCTCTACTCGGCACCTACTGATCCATGATGCTCAGGTATGTTCAGAGACTTTAGCGGACAGCCCTGCCCTGCCTGGGAAGTAGGGGGCGGCTCCGCGCCCAGGAGGCAAGGGATCCCCTTGTCCCAGTTCACCTTCCCCTGGCCCAGCGTAAATAGCAAAGGCGAGAGATGGGCAGGTCCTCTGTCCCCGGCTGCCAGTGATTCAGGGCCGACATCCTGAGATAATTTTATTGGGGGCATTAAACTGAGTTATGAGGTTTTTACAATGCAGCCACTTATGAGAAATCTATTAACAGTAACTGGACAGGAAGGAGGCTCCTCAGTGGAGCCCAAGACGGGCATTAATTGGGGCAATCTATAACAGGACGGGGACCCGGGAAGGTTCCACAGCCGCCTCCCTTCACTCCCCGCAATTTCTGCTGAGAATCAGCAGAGTCGCCAAAAAGAGAGAGATGCCCATTAATCGGCTAATGAAATATGAAAATGTTTATGGGCCATTCAATCTTCCAAATGGCACTTCTATAATCCACCTCTCAGACACAAAGTTCCATCGGCAGAATTTACACCCCAGCTTCTCCTGCATGGCCAGGGGCGCGTCTCTGTCCCCTCCTGACCACTTGGTCTGCACCTGTTCTCCAGCTCAGGATCATGTGGTAGACGGAGAGTGGCCACAGCACCCTGATCCAAAAGAGGCTTTTGAGAGTCTCTCATCTGCTCCCCGTTACCTCTGCAGCAGGGGGTGCAGGGACCTGCTCACACTGCTCCCTCAGGGTGCACTGTCCTCCACTCAGGCCTGACTTGGAGATTGGGCCATCAGCCACTAAGGGCTCGGATGTGTCTGTTTGCAAGAGCTGGTTCCTGACCCGGAAGAACTCAGTGTGGTGAAAACAGCCTGGATTAAATCCCAGTTCTACACAGCTACCATGTAGTGAGAATATAACCCAAGAGTACAATAGCAATGGCTGCTATATTCTGGGCACTTATGTCCAGGCAGGGCTGACCGCCACTGACGGAGCCGGGCTGGTCGTGAAGTAGTGGGAGACCCTCACACCTGCAGGATGCAATCTCTGTCCTCTCCCTCACCCCAACTTGGGGCCCCTCGGGTGCAGCTAGAAGGTCCCTGCCTGGCCCAGCCAGGGCTGCACTGCAGCGTCGCTCTGTGGGCAGTGCTGTGGTTGGTGCCAGTGGCCACCGAGGTCTCACATGGGTTCTCACTTTAGCGAGCTCCTCCATCCCTCCCAGAGATGCTGTCTTGGTTGCCATGTGACGGCAGAGGTGACTGTCACCTGGAGAGGGGCAGTGACTTATCCGAGGACACTCAGGTGAATGGTGCAGCTCAGACCACTCCTCCACGGCTCTGGCCTTGAGGGATCATCCCACATCAGGGATCCTCGGTAGGAAAAGGAGGGAAAAAAATGAGTAAAACGCAAATAGCAAGTTTACTGTAAAAGAGTATTTGAAGAAAGACTCCTGGGACTGGGGTTTGGCAAAGCAAGAAAAGCTGCCAACTGGGGACCCAGCATCCTGTATGGGTGCCAGTTCATGTCCCGGCTGTTCTACTTCGCATCCAGCTTCCTCCTTGTGGCCCGGGAAAGCATCAGAGGATGGTTTTGAGCCCAGGCCACCCATGTGGGAGGCATAGATGAAGCTTCTGGCTCCTGATTTCAGCCTGGTCCAGCTCTTGGTATTGCAACTAATGGGAGACAGAGTTCCATCTCCCCCTCTCCCTATGTGACTCTGACTTTCAAATAATAAATAAATAATCGCTGCTTGGTGAGCATGCCTGACACACACTAGGTGCTCTGCCTGGCACACAGTGGGTGCTCTTGCAATCTGCCATGTGCCACATTCTGAGCCTGGCGCACCATCTTCTAAGGTGGATGTGATGCCCCCCGAGAGCCTCTTGAGGTTTGGAGCTGGGGGAGATGAGCACCTGTAATTCATGGGAAGGTCAGGGGCAAGCAGCAAGGGAGCTTGTTATATGTGCAGACGCCGAGCTCTCCCTCTCCCTTTCAAGACAGAAGCTGCATTTTAACAAGATCCCAGGTGATTTGCATGCACGTTCATGTTTCTGAAACGCCGGCTACAACAATCCTCCATGACTGAACATGATAATGACATGAACGTGATAATGACAACAGCTTGATGCCCTGAGAGATCCTAGAGAGGGGATTAGTATTGGTAGATTCCGACAGGCTTTCTGGAGGAGGCGGTTTTTGGCCACACCTTGTAGGGGGCGGTGACCTTCCATTGGTAGAGAAATAAGGTCAAGAGTCACTAGGCAAGGACCTGGGGGCCATGGGTGGCCAAGGAGAGAGAGCTGAAGAGGTGGCTCTGAGCATATATATATTTTTATGATTTATTTTTATTGGAAAGGCAGATTTATAGAGAGAAGAGAAAGTTCTTTCATCCACTGGTTCACACCCCAAGTGACCACAATGACTGGAGCTGAGCTGATCTGAAGCCAGGAAGCAGGAGCTTCCTCTGAGTCTCCCGTGCGGGTGCAGGGTCCCAAGGCTTTAGGCCATCCTCTACTGCTTTCCCAGACCACAAGCAGAGAAATGGATGGGAAGTGGAGCAGCCTGGCCATGAACTGGCACCTATGTGGGATCCCAGCACTTGCAGGAGGAAAATGAACCAATTGAACCATCACACCAGGTCCCCTCTGGACTTATTTGTAGCAGCCATGGGGAGATGGAAAGAGTGGAGGCAGGGAGTGTGGAAGGCACATTCCAGGGACAGGGTTGGAGCAGCGAGAGCCAAGGAGGACTGGACTGATGGACACCCAAGGGCAGAGGTAGTGCAGCCAGGGCTGAGGTGAGTGGCTTCTGAGGCTCAGGGGTTCCCGTGAAGATGGGAGGGGCTCTCATAGAAGAGCCGGCTAGGGAACAGGCCAAGAGCAGCTGCCCCCACCCCAGCCTGCACCTGCTTCTCTCTGCTCCTCTAGATCCACTCAGACTCGGATGAGGGAGATGGGGCCATCAAGTATACCATCTCAGGCGAGGGCGCCGGGACCATCTTTTTGATCGACGAGCTGACGGGTGACATCCACGCCATGGAACGCCTGGACCGCGAGCAGAAAACTTTCTACACGCTGCGAGCCCAAGCCCGGGACCGTGCCACCAACCGCTTGCTGGAGCCTGAGTCTGAGTTCATCATCAAGGTGCAGGATATCAATGACAGCGAGCCTCGTTTCCTGCACGGCCCCTATATCGGCAGCGTGGCTGAGCTCTCACCCACAGGTGGGCTGGGGACTGGGCAGCAGGGTGGCAGGAGACATTCTCCCAGGGGATTGAGCAATGGCTGCTGGGAGAGAGTCATTGATCCTCTGCAGAGGGGTGGGAAAGATGGTACTGCATCCTCCTGTCCCAGCTTGGGAAACATAGGATCCACAGGTGAGCTCAGGCACCCACTAAGGTTAGGAGTGGCCCGGTGTACATGTGTGCTTGGTCCCACATGTGTGTGCAGCTGTGTCAGGGGCACTTTCTTGCATGTGATGTGTCCTGTGTCTACTTGAGTGTATGTGTTCATTTATTTAATGGACATGTGTTGAGTACCTACTTGTTGCTAGACCCTAGGATCCCAGTGGTGAAAGACAAAACTCCCCGTGTTCATGAAGGACCCGTTCTGGCTAAGGAGGGCAGATGACAAACAGGTGACCAAGTAGAATGTTAGTCCACCTAGGTCTCTCTGTGAAGGAGACACTGAAGCAAAGACCAGAGGAAAGCGAGGGTGTGGGCCCAGGGGGAAGATCATTCCAGGTGGAGGGAACAACATGCACGAAGAACCTAGGGTCTCCCTTTTCCTCCCAAACAAAAGTCGCGAAGTGCTCAGATCATGCAGCCCGGAGAACCATAGGCAAGAAGTCTAGAAAGAAAGTCCAGGATGTTGCAGAGGAAAATGACTCGATGTGACACAGTTGGAAGGAGGTCTCGTGTTCTGTGAAGAACAGGTGGTGGCTGGGGATGTGGTACCCGTGGAGGTGCTGGAATACGGTCAACCTGGGGATGTTTGGGGAAAGTGGAGCTACAAGCACCTGCTGATGGGTTGGTGTGAGGTGTAAGAAGGAAAATTCAAGGATGACTTGTTGGGATTTGGGCCTAAGCCATTCCATGGGTGCAAATTCCATTGCTGAGGCAGGAAGAGACAAGCTGGGAGAAAGAGGGTGGAGGGATGGTAGACACGCTCGGTTAGGACTTCCTGGGCAGCCGAGGGTGTCCCTGAGTGGCCCGCCAGAACTTAGTAACCAGCTGTGCAGGTGGGGACACTGGACCTCAGAGGGACAGTGGGCCATGAGAGGTATGTGACTTATACTATGTCTTAAGAAAACATGGTGCGGTCTCTCTTTACCCAAAACTGACTGGTACATTCCTGCATGGAAAGGCTAGGAAGGTAGCTGAGTTGAAACAAGAGAAGGAGGCCTGAGGCCATGGTGAAGAGGTGGCCTGGGCCCATGTGCACTTTTGACCCTGTCCTCTGTTGCACTGTACAAAGTAGCTGGGGACAGAGTCTCTTGGGGGAGGGAGGAGGAGCTGCACCCACCACGGTGGCTCCCAGTGTCGCTGCATGATCTGGGAGGCTCTGAGGGTGGCAGGTCTGACCTAGGCAATCCCACTAAGTGGCTGAGGTCACCAAGACTCAGAGGGAAGACATAGCCCCGGGCCCATAGCACCTAAGGGTCAGAACCAATAGCAGGGCTCAGCCCCCTGACTGTTGGAATGGAAAAGGTCCTTGTTTTCCAAATGGGGAAACTGAGACCAAGGGTAGGGCAGAGGCTCACCCAAGGTGGGAGATAAAGCCATTCCCCCACCCCAGCTGGCTCTCACATTCCATTCCAGGGAAAAGGCAGATGACTGGGAAGCTCCATTCAGCCAATCTGGGGAGCCCGGGATGGGGAGGGAAAGAGACTGAAATGACATTCGTTTATTTCATTTGAGCAACTTTCTGAGACAGAAGCGGATGCGACGCTAGGGCGCTTGCCGAGGAGTCTGGGCAGCTTTGAAAATCAGTCACAATTACTGAGCCTCCTGATCTGGGGCGCGGAGGGCGGGGCCGACAAGCAGCTCCGGGTCTGGGCAGCTTCGGAGATCAGAGGGAGTGGGGACGCAGCTCGGGACATGAAAGGCAGCAGCACTGGCAAATTAAAGCACTCACAGCTTAAAAGCAGAGGGAAGTGTGCCGGGGGCATGAGGAGGCATACGCGCTTTGGAGGAGGGGCTCGCCAGCTACTCTGGGCCCCAGCGCATCCTGGGCTCCCCAGTTGGGAGTCCTGCCCCACCCTCCATAACCTCTCCTACCCCTCTCGAAGCCTTGAGGGGTCTTCCTGATACTCAGGAAGGGGCTCCACTGTGTGCTGGGCACTAATTCAGGCCCGGGAGTTCTTGGGAGATCTGTGTTCTAGAACAGAGAGACAGGAAATAAAAGGAACAAATGTGCCACATGCCTAGCGGTGGGAATGCTTGCCAGAAGGAGAGTACTGGAAATGATGGGAGAAGGTGCATTGTAGAGTTTATTTATTTATTATAAAAAAATCTTAAAATTATAAATTTATTTATTATAGAAAATTATAAAAATTATTTATTTTACAAAAAATCTGTTTCTTGAAGGGCAGAGTTACAGGGAGAGAGAGATCTCCCATCTGCTAGTTCACTCTCCAGATGGTCATAATGGCTGGAACTGGGCTGGTCTGAAGCTGAGAACTAGAGCTCCATCCAGGATCTCCCCAATGAGCGGGAGGGGCCCAAGCAACTGGACCATCCCCTGATGCCCTTCCAGGCACATTAGTAGGGAGTTGGACTGGAAGCAGAGCGGTGCTCTCACAGCAACAGGCATGCTGGCCTCAGGCCTCTTTTTTTCAAAACAGTTGCTTGGACCAAGATCGAAAGGGAGGAAAGCAGCAAGCTACACCAGGCAGTGGTTTTCAAGCTGTGTTGTGCATCTAAATTACCTGGAGGACTTTGTTAAAACACACACTGCTGCTCTTCCCCCCTCACGATCTCTGACTGGGGAAGTCTGGGCTGTTGGAATTGTTTGCATTTCCAACAAATCCCCAGGTGCTGCTGGTGCAGCCGGCTGGCTGGGAGGGGAGGGGACAGCAGGTGGGCACACTTGGAGCAGAAAGGCTGTTGCAACCAGAGGGGACAGCAGGTGCAGAGGCCCTGAGGCACAGTGTGACAGTCATGCTTGAGAAAGAGTGAGCAGGTGTAGGGGGCCGAGGAGGGATGAGTGACAGGGACAGCAACCACATATCCCAGAGGGGGCCCTGGAAGCTGGATCACACGGGACCTGGCACCATCCGAAGGTTTGCAGGTGAATGCTGAGTGAGTGGGGAGCACAGGACTGATATGCACCCTGTTGATAGCTTGAAAAAGTGACTTGTTGACTGCCATGTTGAAGATGGACTGCAGGGGCCAAGACTGGAAGTGAGGAGGTGAGTGAGGAACAGGTGGTGGTGGCTTGGATGGTTGGAGGTGACAAGCAGAGCGCGTTTGTGTGTGTTGGTGGTGCAGCCAGCAGGCTTTGTTCAGGGGCTGCACACCGAGACGGAGAGAGGCAATGAGAGGTGTCTGAAGTCAGGCCTGGGCAGGTGGACGTGGTCAGAGCTGCCACAAACACGAGGGGAGCATGGCAGCCAAGGCAAGTTGGCAGAGTATGCCGAGAGTTTGTAGCCAGGCACATTAAGATTGAGATGTCTACTGGAAACCCGAGTGGAGACGTTGAGGGGGCAGGTGGATTTATGAGTCTGGACCCCAGAAGAGACCAGGCTTAGAGACAGAGCTTCGGAAGTCAGCAGCAGAAAGAGACTTCACAGGCTGTGTGTAACCGGCAAGGGACAGGGGAGTTGACCTGCGTGGTCCCTAAGGTGTCAGCCCCTGACTCCCTGATGGACCATGAGAGGGGCTCAACTCCACCTCCTTTTTAATGCCAGCTGTGTATAAGACACGATTCTTGGCACTATTGAGGACACGGAAATGAGAAATTTAATTCAGCACACATTTATTAGCCACTACTTTATTCTGGGCACTGCAGGGGATGTAAAGATAAGTAATTGAATTCAATCCACAAATGTTTATTAGCACCCGTTCTAGGAAGGGCGTCTAGTGTGCTTGGCTCCAGAGGACTGCAAACATGGGTCCCCCTCAACTCAGCAAACATTAGCACCTACTTTATATAGCGCCCTGCAGGCGATGGAAGAAGAAATAGCTACTTTTCATTCCATGAACAAGTATTGCACCTAACGCGTACCTGGCCCTTTGCCAGGCACAAGAGCAGGCAGAGACGAGGCAGATACCAGCACTGGTCCTGGTCTCAGACTGGTAGCAGGTCACTTTTTTCTCTCATGTCACGTCTGATTTGTTGGCTCTGGTTGGAGGAGCGTATTGAGGAGTCTGAGATCTGGTTGTGGCTGAGCAGGGAAAAATGCTGCAGTGGATTAGTGATATCTGCCACAAACCGAGGAGCGAGGACGTGGTGGTCGAGACACCGTCGATTTGGCTTTGCTGGATTGGGACCTGGGGCTCCTGGGGCTGCAGAAATGGGCAGGGCTGTGCCGCAGCCACTTCCTCACGTGGTCTAGCTGCTCTGTGCACCGTGTCTGCAGCGGCTGAAGCCTGATGGTCGTACACACCTGCGCTCCCTGGGACAGTCGCTAAATAACAGCTATTGGCCAACACTGCTTTCCCAGGGCTATTTCCCTCTATCAGCACGATCCCGAGAAATAGGCAGGCCAGGTTTTACTGTCCTCGTTTTGCCAATGAGGAAATAGATGCAATGAGAGAGAAAAGTTGATTTGTCTCAGCTGCTGCAGGAAGCTGACCTGGAACCAGAACACACGTTTCTGGGCTTGGCCCTCTTGGCTATCTTTGCAGGGAGAATTCTCAGGATCCCCTAACTGCAAAATCACTTTCACCTCTCTCATCTCATTACTTCCTCCCAGAGACCCTCGTGAGTGGAGGGCTTACGTGCCCATGTTACAGCTAAGGGAAGTAAGGACAAGGGAAATAGAATAGGGGTGCACAGTGTCTAATGCCAGAATCCAGCACTTGGAGTGGGGGAGGTTACAGAAAGGAAAGGGAAGGCAGGAGGCGGCGGGCTCCCGTTGGGGCGGGCAGCAGCAGGCTGGGAACTTGCCATTGTCCCGTCTGCAGCTGGAAAGAGTATGTTTCAGCAGCCCTCAGGCCCAACCCAGGAATCAATCGCTGGCCTCTGCAGAGACAACTTCTAAAGATGTTTTTAATTAAAG